AAATTATCCATATATAAAAGACAATTCTAGAAAATTCAAGCAAATAAAAAATTAACTATGCAAATTGTTCAACACCAATCTTGAAAACTCAAGAAAATTGAAGCAAATCACAAATTATCCATAAATAACATAATTAATTGAAACCTTATTCCTTTTAATTAAGTTTCTTCAATCTTCACTTGATAACATCAACTTCATTTTACACAATTAGAAAGAAAAAATTAGACATGTCTCCAGAAACATAAATCAGATTAGTTGTTTAGAATATTAAATATATCGAGAAAATTAATATGGGTGTGGGCGGGTACCCATAGGCCGGGTTTATCTATATCTAAATCCAACCCAACCCGGTGAATAGTGAACGGGTTTAAACTCAAACCCGACCCAAAACCCATCAACACGGATTTTACCCACGTTGACCGAATTGGGTCGGGTGGGTACCCGTGGGTTCGGATTTTGTAGGCATCCCTAAATTAAAGCATGAATGATTCTGCCAATGGTTCCACAACAATAAATCGTTGAACTATCAACCACTGATTTTTCAGATTTAGGGTCCGGTCTGGTTTAAATTCAATTTAATATAATATAAAAAAAATGCGCGGAATTGCCTTGATGTACGCACTTTACTGAATACGGATTCGGAACAAATTTTTTAAACACTCAAATCATTGATTTTATGTTCCCCAAATCAGGGCCATGTTTTTTGAGAACATAAACAATACAACCTTTATTAAAAATATTTGGTAGTGAATAGCATTGACTAATCAATCATAATTATTGTCGTATGCTCACTTTGAAATATGTGAACTAGGGGGATGTGGGTGCTTAATCCGCGGATTGATATTGATACATCCATAAATAATTCGATCTGCAAGCAATGGGTAATTGATGTCGGTGGATTGCGGATTGATAAATCTTTCACCCGCACTTATGTGGTTAGAGCTGTCAAAATTGAACCCGACCCGACTAACCCGCCCAACCCACCCGACCCACAACCAGTTCGTAACCCGATTTGACAAAAAGTCAACTACCTGAAGCCCGCCCGTAACCCGAAACCAATTGACCCGTAATCCGATCAACCCATAACTTGAGGAACTCGTTATCCGATCCAACCCATAACCCGACCCATATATAACCCGAATGATTCATAACCCAAATAACTCATAACCGAACCGAACCCAACTCGAATAACCCGAATAACCCATTTGACCCAAATGCTTGTACAAAAATTCAATGTATACATTATTATACTTTTAAATTTTCCAAGAAAGAACTGTTGTTCTCAAAATAATTGAAAATTATTTGTAGAATTGATGATATAAATAGGAAGAGTTAGACACAAATTCGTATCTCCACCACCCATAACTATATTGAAAAAATCAACCCTTGAAAATCAATGAAATCCTCAAAATCAATGATCCCTATCAAGATATATAAGTGGATAGTTTACCATTTTTACTTCATTCTCAACTTTTTACTAATTTTATATACTTTTTATAAATTAATAAATCAACGATTCAAACTAGATGATAAGATCATATTTGAGTGAACCGTGTTCGACCCATGAGTTTTAGGATGAGATGTTACTGTGAATATACAAAAAATTATGAAGATATATAAGTGGGTGATTCGAAATGATGTTCATAAGTCTTCTTGAAAATGAAGAGACACACATCTAGCTCAGACTATATTTAATTAAGACGATTCATATGGAGATGTATAAGCATATAGTCTACCTATTTTTAATTCATTCTCAAATTTTTACTGATTCAAATTTTTTATAAATTAACAAAATAAGTGAAGTTAGTAACTCTCACCATAAACAAAAAAATTATAACCAACAACAAAGCTTTTATATACACTATTTTATTTATATTTAGTTTTTATACTAACATAATGGATATTTAATTTGTATGTGTAAAATATTATCATATTATCATTTTCTTAAGTTTTGTATCATTACCTACAATTTATATTCATATATTGATAGTTTGTAAAACATTATTTTCTGTCAAGAAGTAAATGATCCAATGGGTTGACCCGAATAACCCATAATCCGACCTGACCGAACCCGAATTAACCTGCAGCCCAATAAACCCGTAATTTGATGCACCTGTAATCCGATCTAATCCGTAACCCAATTGACCAGTGATCTGATTGACTCGTAACCCAATTGACCTGCAACCCAATTGAACTCGATCCAAATTGAAACCGACCCGATTGAATAACTCGATTAAACTCAACCCGGCCATACCCAATCCGAACCCAACCCAACCCGCCCAATTGACACCTCTATATGTGGGTGGGTGATGGGTGGATTGCGGTCATCTGTATGACCCGCATCCTATTTTTACATAAAAAAAAATTTATTTCTTATAGTATAGAATATTCATCATATTTTCGAACTGCACTACAGTCTGATTATATACTTCAAAAGGTGGAGAATAAAGAATAGTTTTGACTATTATTATTGGTTTTGTGTTGTGCAATATCTATTAGATATTGAATATTGGTATGCAAATTATTGTTAATATCAATTAAATATTGGGATGCAAACTATAAATTATTAATTGTATGAAAATTACAGATTATTGATACAGTTTTATTAATTTGCTATGAACTTATTATAAATGTTAGTCAATTTTCTTAATGTCTAGTTGGAGAATTGCTTTTGCCGGTTGACCAACAACCCAACCGCAACCATCCGCCACCCACCCAACCCAACCCGTAGAGGTATGTGGGTGAATTGCGGGTCACAATTATTCCAACTCGCTAGTAAGCGGGTGGGTCAATTTGATACCAAAATCCACCCAACCAGCTCATCGCCCATCCCTAAACTGTGAACTATATACCTTTTTCTCAGTTGAAGCTTTTTTTAAAAAAATTCTCGCCCTTTTACCTATGGATCACATACTTTTGATTTAGGTGACCAGAATGTGTAGTCACCGAGATTACTAATTTGTTTAGCGTTTAACACTTAAACTAAAATTTAAATTTTGGTCAGTGACTTTTAACTTTCGTCCAACTTCATCAACTTTGTCCTATCTCGTAGCTGACATTAAAATAAGTGATGTGACAATTAAAAATTACAAATAATAATTTTATTTAATTTGAGTGACTATTGATGCAATTGAAAATTTTAAGTGACGTGAAACAAATTAGTATCTCCGTGACCAATCATGCTATTCACACCTTTTAATTTATAAAACTTTCTTGTGATCGATATATCTAGTACTAAAAATTTATTTTTTAAAAGAATAGTGTGATTTTCGATTATCTTGGATGATTTTGTAAAGACTCAAGTAATCCTGTAATGAAATTATTGAATAATACTTAACTGAATTGTTTGTCATTCGTTTATAACAGTACTAGATTATGCGATTATAACATCCCGAACCTTTTCCCGAGCAAGACATTATTCGCTTTGGGCCTCGACCCTCACGTTTTTTGACTTGGGGCGCAATTCAAGGTGACTTTCCCTAAGGCCACCCATCCTTGTAGTTATCCACATTGAGCACGTTTAACTTCAGAGTTCTTACAAGAACTCCTCCATTTCACCCCAAAACGCGTCTTGTCAGTTAATGTCGGTTTCTTACTTATGAACCATGGATCTCTCTCGTGCTTTGTCGATGTGGGATCGATTTGCCAAAGGTCACATGGCCCAACTAGTAAAACTCTAGAGAGACCCTCAATGGGGAAGTGTGAGGTCACGTGTTCGACTCAACTCGAGGCAAATTGTGATGTTTCCGAAGACACCAAAAGAGAATCTTAGTGAAAGGCCCAAAGGACTCAAGCAAGTGAACTTCCAACTTTTAATGTGGTGAGATGTAGTAGTTCTTGTCAGAACTCCGAAGTTAAATGTGTTTAGTGTGAAGTACAATAAGGATGGGTGACCTTATAGGAAGTCACCTTGAATTGCAACACAAGTCAAAAGCCGTGAGGGTCGAGACCCAAAGCGGACAATATCTTCGTCGAGAAAAGGTTCGGGATATTAAAAGTGGTATTAGAGCATCTCCGCGTCCCTCTTGAACGATGGTGGGAAAACCTCAACGAGGACGTTGAGTCCCGGGGGGAGGGGGGGGGGTGTATGTAACTCCTTAGGCAAATCTCACATCGACAAAGCACGGGAGAGATCCATGCTTCCTAAGTATGAAACCGACCTTAACTGACAGGAAGCTTTTTGAGGTGAAATGGAGGAGTTCTTGAGAGAACTCCGAAGTCAAACGTGCTTAGTGTAGCGTACAACAAAGATGAGTGACCTTATAAGAAGTCCATCGAATTACACCCAAAGTTGAAAACCGTAAGTTTCGAGACTCAGAGCGGACAATATATTTATCGGGAAAAGGTTCGGGATGTTACATTGATTCACAAGAATTACTTTGTATATCAAACTACTTTATATATATATATAGAAATATATCTGACTACTAATCGGATCGGTGGTTTGACCGGAACCCTAAAGTAATTTTCTGCGAAGTTTAAATACAGAAATACTTAATAAAATCAAATTATTTCAACAATCCACCGTGCCGTGGAGAAACTAAATAATGAAATTTATATTCTATCCTTCTGGTTAGAGAGCAGAGAGACAGAGACAAGAACGAACGAGTGCCTGCCCCTGGGCCTTCTTGTTCCCATTGTGTTTCACTGTTTGTAGTTTTCATGTTCCATTAGTATTCTTCTCCGATTCTCTTATTCAAATAATTCTTTACTTTTTTTTATTAGTATTATTATTTGTGTTATTGGTTTTTTGTCTTTTCGTTTTCTCATGTGTTTTTGGGCCAGCCCTCTAATTAATGGTCGTGAAAACAACATTAACGGGGAAACCGTACCCTCTCGTCTTCTTCTCCTTGGGAACTATTCCCCTCCCTCTTTCCTTCCTTCCTTCCTTCTTAATTTCTTCATCTCTCTCTCTCTCTCTCACACAAAAAAAAGGGCACTTCAGAGAAGGAAGGAAGACAAGCAGAGGCAGAGGCGGAGAAGGAAGGCCAGGGATGACGAGCATCTCGCCAGTGAAGAAAAAGAAGAGGAAAAGGATATGTGATGATGGTTGCAGCAAAGCAAAGGTACTACTGCCTGCCTGGCGAGTCATCATTTAATCATTAATTAGCGACGCTTTTTTTTCTCTTCTTCCTTCCTTCCTTCGTTCCTCGTCGTCATAGGCGTACAAGGGAAAGCCAGGCATTTTGTTCTCCTTCTTCCACCTAGCTCCAATTCAATTTCCCAGTTTTAAGTTTTGGCCACTCTCTCTCTCTCTCTCTCTCTCTCTCTCTCTCTCTCTCTCTCTCTCTCTCTCTCTCTCTCTCTCTTTCATTTCGTTTTTGTTTCTTCACGGTCAAATATGGAAATCAAAGAGACGGGAATCGGAAATCAAGTGTACTTATTATTCGTGTAGGGGCGAAAGGAATATCAAAAGAGATTACTTAATTATGTACTAGTTACTTTTATAGTTCTATATATAATAACACAATGTATTACTTCTACACCATGGAATGAAGCTAAGCCAATTATCTTTTCCTAGTCCGCTACTCAGTTTCAAATTCGGTAACCCCGTTCCTTGTTGTTGTTCCGTTCCCAACAAAATTTGGTTCTGATAACTATCAAATGGTCGCTAAAACGTTCTATCAATTTTTTGAAGACGAAAGCCAGAAAAAGAAGAGTCTGAAACCTGGTTGCGGTTTAACAGCAATGTTTCTTGCTTGTTTTTATCGAGAGACCTTTTCATATGGTCGCAAAAAGCGATTCATTTGAACACATTTTACGATATGGTATTATACAAATACAATTGTGCGCGGCATCGGGGATGGCATTAATATCTTTTGGCTGGTTGCACGTGCACCAGCTTGAATGCTCGAAACTTTTCAAACACTGTCAGGAAATGTCAGACCCGCTTCTCTCGTTACGCAATAATATTATTATTATTTGGGATTGCTGTATATTATTGTACCGTCACCTCCAAGAATTTACCAGAAAAAAAATTGGTGCCCAGCCCAACAGTGCAAAGATTGTTCCCTTTCAATTCGTACACGGCCCTTCTATTCCTATACGTAACTGGTCCAGACTTTGCCCAACACAGGTTTGCAGTTGGTGCAGTGTTAAATCAGTCCCACGAATTCATTCACAGAGAGAGGGAGGGAGAGTTGGTACTTGCTCATCACCATCAATCCTTTTCATGGGTCTCCACTTCATCAACCTTTAACCTACCACCATATATATATATATATACATATTATGGTGTTTTTCCAAAAAGCATTTTATCATTCCAAAATTTGTGATTAGGTTACGCTTTATATTTTTGATGAATGGGTGGGATTTTATTTCATCAAAAATACAATCTGTACAAAGTCAAACATGGGACTAGAACAGATTACACTTTAACCACAACACGCTAAAAGCCTATATACACAACAAAACTATGCCTTGTACCACAAATGACGCGCCATAGCTAGATCAGCAAACCCAGGATCTCCCAACTCTCTTGCTATCATGACCTCCTGCATTTTACCCACCAGCTCTGCAACCAACAGTTGCCTCCCACCAAAAACTCTTCTACATCGTTCTCTCCATATTTCGCTTAGCACTAGGCACCAAAGGATCCTGCCCACCAAACACTTATTGAGTCGCTGTGTAGCTACAGAAACTGCCTCCTGCAGAGTTCTGGGCACTGGAAGCCTCCATGAAGGGGGAAAAACTGCTCTCCAAGTATCCTGCACATATGAGCACTGGAAAAAAAGACGAGACTTGGTCTCCTCAACCTGACCACAAAAAACACACAGGTCATTCACTACAGGATTCCACTTCTTCACCACATCCATTGTATGGATCCTTCCTAGTAAAATCAACCATGTTATTGTCGAGTTTTTTGGGATTCCTCCCTTCCATACCAACTTCGACCAACTGACTGTAGTCCCTCTTGGCCTGAAACTCTCCCAGACCTTGCTAATTTTGAACCTCTCCATTAGTTCCCCTTCCCATTCAACCCCTCTGCTGGTTAGACACAACTTCCCTTCCACCTCGCTTCGTAGTTTCAAGACTTTGTTCCACACCCAAGAACCACCAGTACTTACCTCCCAGATGCTCAAATTCCTTAGCCGATACTCTTTTATCCAGGCGATCCACAGGGTATCCAAGCCAGAGAGAACCCCCCAAATGTGCCTAGTGAGGCAGGCCTTATTCCAGGAATAGAGGTCTTTAAACCCCATTCCCCCTTCTGATTTAGGCAGGGCCACAGTTTTCCATGAGACTTTAGCCCTTTTCTTTTTCTCAAGATCACCCCAGAGAAATTGGGAACACATCCTCTCAATCTCCCTAATCACCTTCTTTGGCAAAAGTATGACCTGCATCCAGTATTGTGTCATACTTGCAAGAACCGAGATGACCAGCTCAATTTTTCCCGCATATGTTAACAACTTAGGCTGCCACCCCATTATACGTTTCCCAATCCTATCCACCAGATTCCTACAATCAGCAGCTGATAATTTCCCAGCAGTCAGTGGCAAGCCAAGGTATCTGACTGGCAAATAACCAGCCTGGAAGCCAGAACGCAAAACCAAATCCTCCCTCAGAGAATCAGGGACCTCTGCACTGAAAATCTCACTTTTGCTCTGATTGCACCTCAGCCCAGAAATCAGATAGAATTTGTCCAACACTTCAGCAACCACAGACACACCTTCTACACTTCCTTTAGTAAAAATCAGTAGATCATCAGCAAAACACAGATGTGTTAAGCTGATTCTCTTACATTGGGGATGGTATGGCAGGAACCCTCTAGCAGCAGCTCTATCAATCATACAACTTAGCACCTCCATGCTAACAGTGAACAGGTAAGGTGAAAGTGGGCAACCTTGCCTCAAACCCTTCTTAGCAGGGAATAAACCAGTCAACCCTCCATTAATACAAACAGAAAAACTTGTAGAAGTCAAGCAACCTCTCACCCAACTCACAAATCTGCTTGGAATTCCCATGGCCAACAGAGTACAGAGCAGGAAATCCCAATCAACACTATCAAAGGCTTTCATTATATCAATTTTTAGGGCACATCTAGGGGAGACATTTTTCCTGTTGTACCATTTCACCATTTCATGAGCAAGTACAATATTGTCTGTAATGAGCCTGCCTTGAATGAAGGCAGACTGATTAGGGCTAATAAGTTGAGGCAAGACTACCCTAATTCTGTTAGCAAGAATCTTGGAAATGCATTTGTAGATGAAGTTACAGCAGGATATTGGCCTGAAGTTCTTCATTGTGTTTGCATTTGGGACCTTAGGAATGAGAGCTAGGATAGTACAGTTTACCTCTTTGCGTAATGTACCAGTGCAGAAGAATTCTTGAACAGCAGAGATAAGAGTCTCCCCCACCAGATTCCAATGGAGTTGAAAGAACTCAGCAGGGAAACCATCTGGCCCAGGGGCCTTCCCTCTCTTCATCTTCATGACTACAGTTTTAATCTCCTCCCCTGTAACCTGAGCACATAATTCCTCACTACCTGTCTCCAGATGGAACTTAAGAAGACTTCGAAGAGTGCTAACAGAGACCCTTTTCAAGTTTGCATCCTCAGTCCCCAATAGCTTCTTGTAGAAATTCACTGCCTCCAAACCAATTTCATCAATATTTTCCAGAATAGTTCCTTCATCAGTGACTAGCTGCCTGATATTATTCCTAACCTGTCTGGTTTTAACCATACTGTGGAAAAAACTGGAGTTAGTATCCCCCTTTGTAACCCACTGCTGCCTGGATTTCTGTCTAAGAAAACTTTCTTCTGCCTTTTGAAGAGCAAGAAGCTGGACCATACACCTCTTTTCAGCTTGGAAAGCTGAAGAGGCAGGGCGCTCCAACACCTCTTGCTGTGCTCTCTCAAGTTCAGCCCTTGCCTGCCTAACTCTATCATGAATCTCAGAGAAGCACTCCCTATTGAGTTTCTTAAGAACATTCTTAATACCACGCAGCTTCTGATACAACCTTGCCATCGCAGTGCCAGAGGTAGGACAAATCCACCCTTCATTTACCAAGTCTTCATACTGAGGATGCATCTTCCAAAAACTAAAATATTTGAAAGGTTTGGGAAGGGATTGTTTACCAGAATCCAGACTCACCAATAACCCACAGTGATCTGATAAACCTGGTAAAAGAACCTTCACCAAGCTACGAGGAAAGGTCTCCAGCCAACCCTCTGTAACAAGGACCCTGTCTAATCTCTTAGCTATTGGAGCTTCAGCCTGTTTATTTGACCAGGTAAACCAAGGACCCAGGGCCTTATGATCAATCAGCTTTAAATCCTCTATCCAAGCTTTAAAATCCTGTGAGCTTTCCCCCAAACTCACTGGAATAGAACTCTCAGAACCCTCCACTATGGCATTAAAATCACCTGCCACCATCCATGGAATTGAAGGACTCACTATCCCAGCAATGTCCCTGTATGTCCGTTTCCTTTCCCCCCACATCATTAGACCCATAAAGAAAAGTTATTTGAGTAGTACCCCCTTCCTGTAACATACAATGAACGAAATTATTTCCACTATCCACCACAATGAAAGAAAAGTTACGCTTTATATTACGGATCCATTTAGTACAAAATAATTTATGGACTGCATTTATCGGTTTTGTTTTTCCTTAAGTAGTAATTCGAGCGGACAACGTTTTTACCTTTTTTTTGTCATAGATATCTCCAAAGGGGAGCAATATATATACGAAGAATATACACGAATTTTGCACGTCAGCTCACAAGACAGAAAGAAGAAGAATGCAAAAATGTTGGCCGACCAGTCAATGATTGGTTCACGCCTAATTATACACATTTGTACACCTTATTCTTGATTGTTTTACTAGTGTCTCATTGTCCTTGAGACCGTTTTACGCTTGGTTGTGCATGATTGAGTATGTTTCAAGTCATAGTAGGTGAAATTTGCAAAGGAACGAGAGTCGGACAAAAGGGAGTCAAAACGGGACAAATGAAGAAAAGTGTCAAAGCGCACGGTCCAGAACATTTTCTCACGGCCAGGCCGTGACATCTACATCAAAACCATGAAAATTGCATGGATTCCTGGAGGTTGATGTCGTCTCATTGGCATGAGCAAATTTCACGGTCTGGAGACAGTGACATCAACACTAAAATCATGAGGTTTGCAGAGTTCCAAGAAGCTGAAGACATCTCGCGGGTCCTTGCAAATCTCACAACCTCAGGCCTGAGAATTATATATATACAGGTCGTGAAGATTGTAAGTGACACGGTGCACATCCAGTAGAACTCATGATTTGGTTGCAAACCTCACGGTCGTGATTGGTAACCATCAACTTTGCACTTCCGAGCTAAATAAAGGAGAAGAAATCATATTTCTAAGGGATAAGTCTAGAGTGAGAAATTGCATATGCTGGGTAGAAAGTGAAAGTGATGAAGGAGGTCTCTAGCTAGTGTTAGAATTGGAGCTTCAAATCACAATTGGCATTCAATTTAATCACCAATGGTAGAAGATTGAAGTGAAATAAGAACTCAACCATCTAGGATGTTTTCTTCTCTTGATTTGGTGTATTTCTATCTCTCTCTCCCTCTCTCTCATCATAAGCTTAACTTTCTATAACTTGGGTGTTGTGGAATTCTAGTGGTATAATTTAGATTAGATAAATGATTTCCATGTTTGGTTGACTCTTGATTATATATAGATTTGAGGTATTTTATGAATTGTGTTGGCCATTGATAAAATCCACTCAATTGTTGCTATTAGCCTAATTAAGGTAGAGAATATCCAATTGAGTTAATTAGAGCACTTACCTGGGAGGGGTTATAGTGATTACTACAAAGTAGTAATCACCATGGTTACTAAGAGCAAATTGGATATGGAAAAATAAATTATATTAATTAATTTTTTTAATAAATTGCATTTTAGGCAGTTACAATATATATTAATTACAATTCTCTCTCTTTCTCTCACTTCTATAATCTCCAGCCATATCTCGTTTCCTTATTTTTCTCCATCTTTCTGCACACACAAAAAAAATCACTACCAATCTATTAGGCAACCACTACCATTTCGAAAAACACCAATATCATTATAGATAAAAACAAGAAATCAATACCAAAACATAAAAAACTACCACTACCACAACATAATAACGTTGATTAACCAATACCATTGCAGATTTAACTAATAACAATAATGAAGATCACTACTAAGACAAGAACATCAATACCAAAAAATAATACCACTGCAATAAAACATTAAAAAAATACTACCATTACACAAAACAACAATACTATTCGAGAAATAAA